CAGCTGTTGGAGTTACAATATCACTAATTGGCCACATGGTAGTAGTTATATTGATAAACCGAACAGCCCGTGTGAGTAATCAACTATTTAGGAACGCCTCTGCTTCTGTCGGTGTGTTAAACAGCGATAGCAGACCCGACGGTTATAGCAGACGAGCCTAGTTTAGTCCACAGTACAGACACCTGTTTGTTCACATGTTACTTGATACAGATCAGCTCCCGAGTGCTAACGCGCGAAGTCGCCGGCGCCGCCACGTCCTGGCGTCCGACACATAGCTACCGACGTAAGCCAGACTTCCACTAGGAACACTTCACACTGAAGCTTATTTATTGTAAGCGTCAAAGTTAGATTTAGAAACAGAAGGAACACAAAACTTCCTCGGACGAGACAAGAAGCGTCATAAAAGAACTGTCTCGATAGAATCTCCACGATTAGTGTTAGGGTTAATGTATCAGTAAGCGCGGCAGTTCTTGTATGGTCGCGGCATGAAACTAGATGAGTATATCGAGCGGTAGGGAAGGCACAGAGCGCGACGCTGCGTGCGTTCCGTAGCGCGGGACGTGGCATGTAGTCGCGTGAGGGAGCCTCTGTATCAGTGTGCGGGAGTGGGCGCTCGGTCGCGCGCGGCGCGGCCCTAGCGTTTACCGTTGTTATACGAGAGACTCCGCAGCGGCGCCTTGAAGTTGGCCGCCGCCTGCTGTTGGATCTGGTACGCGAGCGGGTGGATCTTGAACCCGTACAACCTGCCGACGACAAGGTTACCTTGGTAACTATCAACATCACATACACAGGACACTTAAATGGCATTCATAGCAGCGTTCATACCTAGGCACGAACTGCGAAGCGGGCCGCTTGGGTCTGTACTCGGGATGGACCATGAATACCATGTGCGGGAAGCCGGTCCCGAAGTAGGCGCCGTCAGTGTGGTGGTGCCGCGAGGACTTGGGCGTGTACACGTCCATGCAGCGCGGACAGTACAGCTTCACCATCGCCTCGCTGGGAACGTCCGATAGACCTGCAGACAAGGTACACGTTGTAAAATTATTGTTCTGTTATCTCTATCTGTACATAAAGGTAAATTGAATTACGTAAATCATTGTTAGCGTTCTTTTATGTGTGAGAACAACCTTTGTGTCATATACGTATATTATTATGTTCTATTGCATGATATGATGACGGGGGTACAACAGAGCTATTTAACTATTGATGCGCGATAAACAAAGATTGAAATTATATATAAAAATGCGTTTAAAATAATCGAATGAAAACAAACAAATGATGAACTCCTAAAAAGGTAAATATTATCATCCACCCACTTATAGGTTCGAAGTCGGTGCCTCAAGATCTTAAACAAAAGTATCCAATAAAACTTTGAGAGGCACCTTCGTCATCATCATTATCATCAGCCTGATTTCGTCCACTGCTGGACATAGGCCTCCCCAATTGCACGCCACTGAGCTCGATGTTCAGCTCTTCTCATCCAACCATTGCCAGCCGCCCTGCGGATATCGTCAGTCCATCTAGCTGGACCTTACATTGAGCAAATAAAATTATTTAATTATTGGATGTCAAAATGTCATAAATCAAGCCCTAACAGACAATTGCCCATCTATTTGTAACAGTAAGTAAAACCAAGGTGAAACGTAAGGTACAGTGCGGCCGACGTATCTTGGCGAGTCTGAACTTAGCCGATTAGCTGCGCAGTACACAATTTTGTTCTTAAAAGATCCATTGCGCAGACAAACGGCTAACTTCAGACTCGCCAAGATACGTCGGCCGCACTGTAGCTACTGTTCATCCTTGATGAGTTGCCTTAGATATTTAACCTGCCCAAAAACGACGTTATTGCTGTTACTTTCAAGGGATTTCGACTTTCTTTTGGCTCCATGATTAGGTCAACTCAAGACCATCATAAAATTATACTGTTGAAACCTCTTTTTGGAAGTCGGTTTAAAATACGTAGGTACAATATCTTATTGTATACTCACCTAGTGGAAGCATGGCTTGGCATTCACAGTACACTCGGGGGCAATGACCGAAGTCGCCGGCTTGGAATTTTTCTAACATTTGTCCAATACCTCTGCAAAAAATTAAATAATTACTACGTAAAAATATATAATAACAGAGTTACGATTATAAATGTTTACCGTCCTTGTTTTAGCACTAGGTGGTGAGATAGTAATTTTAGAAAAATAATATTTAGATTCATCAATTTTTTTTGCCATAAAATTATATAGTAGTATATAGTAGGTGTGAAGAAAAGACAGACATACAGAGGAGAGTTACTTTCGCATTTATAATATTAGTTTGGATTCTCGTTACCTGTAAGTTATCCCGTTAATGTAAGAAATCAATGATCAATCACTATGTTAATCTTTTTTTGAGTTAATTTTTAAGTTAAATATTTCACCTAGCATTTGTCACATATGGAGGCAGATGGTATTTCGTAATAACACAATTTACCCTGCATTAGGAAGCCTACGGCTAATAATCATCAATTCTTTTATATTCATTGATTATTAGCTGTAGGCTTCTTACTGCACGGTAAAGGCTTCTATTAAATTGTGTTTTGTAAATATAATACTCACCTATTTGTTAATATGTAGCGAGCATGTATCAGTCCATAGAGGATCTCGGAGGCTTGCTCCACATATTCAGTCTCATTTGGGTTGTCATCAAGATCATCGTCTGTGAACAACAAAATAAATAATAAACATATGATACTTACTACTAATAGTCTCCATTGCATGCTATATTTATTATATGCACATTGAAATAATATGTGTTTACCTATGAAATTGCCGTATTGCATGAAAAAATTGAAACAATATTTTTTGATTTGAAATGCGATGAAAATGTAACACTAATCAATAAACAAATGAATACTTTTGGTAAAAGAATCCCATGTTTTTAAAACAAAATTAATTAGCCTTAGCCTAACAAAAACTATTTTGATTTGAAATGGCCAGTACTGCAGAATGGCAATTTCATAGGTAAAGACCTATTATAAATAAAATACTTTAACCTTAGTTTGTCTTTTTTTTCAATATGACATAAAATACATATTATTACTGTATTCTATTTGGAAACATATTGTTCAAACTCAGTGACATCATATTAAGTTGACTCTAACAAGCCATTGTTAATTTCTACATATATGTCTCGGCATGTCGATTAATTAAATTTAATTTTGAAGGAGTTTTGATTAGTTAACACAAATCATCAGAAGAGAGTGCAACTAATTGTACTCTGGCGGAACTTGAAATGGAATGTCTGTGTGCGCGTTATGGTTTTAAGTGAGCGCTGTGGCTGTCATGTGGGACAGAATGCCGACGTCTGTTATGTTTGAAGTTTATTTCATCTGATTATAAAACCTATGCTGCAATTAACTATGAAGACGATGATCAGAATGTTGATGTTTGTACCAACCTCCCAATGCCTTCATATGCAAATGTTTGGTACAGGCATAATTTATAAAATAAATAACTGTTTGTTGACTTCACAAATACGCCACCAATTTATCCAATTATGTCATTAGCGGTAATTTACACTAGGCTGAACCACAACGCCTTTTCCTGCATACTTTTCCAGTCACAACATCTCCAACTAGTTATGGTTATAAGCCCAGAATCAAAGAAATAACTAAAAAAAGAGATTTGTAGTGATTTGTTTGTTGATTTTGAAAGTAGAACAGTGTCTACTAAGCTCATTGTTGTTATAAAATCCTTTTTCAATCATAACAAATAGCAAAGCGACAGAAGTCTGCCTTAAGATGAAGATTATGGACTGATTATGTATAATGGTATAAAATGGTACATGTATTCACCAGCCTCCAAGTCTAGGATCGTGTCCAGGGCTCGTCTGTAGTGTGGCACCTGCTCATTTAGTCCCGTCAAGTTGAATTTATCATTAATATAATCCTCGTCCACCTAAAACAGTAACTTAATTGATCAAAATCAGTTTTCATCAACACTTCAAGAAACTACACTTGAGTGACATACCTCGCAAAAGAATTCATTTCCCCGAAGACTGCAAAACCATGAAATCCATGAAACTTCCTCTGAGCTGCTCATTTTCCTAAAATAATAAAAATTGATAAACGAAAACCGTTTCCTTTACAATTTCAGACACAGGAAATCCAACGCTTCGAAGTCAACACAGTTACAACAAATTCTAAGCATTCCAATGTTTTCATGTGTTTTTTCAGAAGTCTACGTAAGTTCACATTGAAATCTCAACACAGTTTACCAAACTCACTATTATTAGGAAGTGGTATTACTTAAATAAACAGAATTAAATGGAACAAAATGATTTCAAACCTCACCTTTTCGTGCCTTGATTAGCCACGCTTGACGGAAGGGTATCTTGGGATGAGGGAGTGAGGGAGAGAGAAAAACAACACAGACTATATAGAGATACTCGACGAATAATAACAATTTGTATGGGTGGCAAAAATAGAGCCAACTTGTCTATGGTCAGCAGTTTTGTCATTCATTCGTTCCTTCATTCATTTTTAACAAGTCCTTAAAACAAGGGCTTTTGATACATTTTCTTTATTTTATTACATGGTTAATATTTAAATAAAATCAATAATTTCAATAGTATTTTCAATATTTACTTGAGGTAGTATAAATATACGTTTTCTATTCTGTTATATGAGTAAAATTAGATCTAAATGAATCGTAACATCATTGCATCATGCTTTTCACTAAACAAAGGCAAGAGATGAAAATGAACCTAAATAAGCGTACGTTAATCTCTTTTAAGCTAAGACTATAGAAAAATATAACTTATTCCTCCATGCTTTTGAACAACTTACGTTTCTCCGGACATACATTTAAAAGAGTACAGAAATTCCATTGTGTTCTTTCTACACATGAAGGAATTAAATAATCATCTGTAATATATACAGTTTGGATAAGGGTCATGACTATATTTTTTTTGAAGATAAGAAAATGTGTAATAATTGCAAAACTCATACATCTTTCTCATAGATATTTAATACATTAAAAAATAAATAAAAATACAGCTAAAAAAAATTATCAAACGCATTAATTAATTACATTAACATTAATATTTATCTGATCGCATTTTGAATATGCTCCAACTATTATCACAGACCTTTACCATGTCCAATATCGTTTCACTTTTCATTCCTATTACATTACACCCCATTAATTTCTTTCCAAATTAGAGGAGCACACGCGACATTTGCTGTAATAAAAAATAAATCACTTTTACATTTACGTACTACAAAAAAAGGTGTAATATACTTATTAATTTGTCTTTAGGACATACATATTTATGGCGACCTCAACTCCTCACCTTCCGCTTGACGCAGGTTCTTACCGGACACGGAAATTTCCGGAGGTACCAGTTTCGAGACACGGGCTGAGCAGGGCTAAGCAGGTCCGTGTCGAAAAAGCGACTACTTCTCGCATCCGGCCTTAGTCGAGGCTATGGTGCGTAGTGAGAGGAAGTGGGAAATCGTTTCCTCTTTTTGCGAAGCAGTGATGTTCGCCAAGAAAGAGGCCTATGTCCTCACTAGTAGGAAACATTCGATGACTCGGTGACGATCTACGGGCCTCAGGGACCGCGTCACGATTTCCTGTCGTCGGGGACCGCGTGACAATCTCCCGGCGTTGGGGATCGCTTGACGATCTCTGACAACCGCCAGCGCGGGTCGGCGGACGGCGAGTAAGGGTAACTCGCTGCCCGAAAAGAAAAACCAGATAAAGAACGTTATGGTGCGTAGCGTTCCGCCCGCACTTCAAAGAACCAAAATACCACCACCGATCAGGCCAACAGGGCTTATGTTCAGCCAGAGTTGCGTTGCAAGCGCAATAATATACCGCGGCCTCGGTCTAGACCAGAAGGAATGGAGTGGTTTTTAGTCAGTCAAACCTTCTCGTCTAACTCTGGGCGCTGGTCATTTGATGATTTATGCACACAGAAAAAGAAGGATAGGTATACATATTTATATACAATTAAATAAAAAATAAACTAAATAATAGGTAGTAATTACATACAAGCTTAGCAGAGTATCATAAAAATTGGTTTAGTTATCCCTAAATTCATAATATTTATAATAAAAAAATATAAAGATATCTTACTTTCAAAACTGAGTTTTACAAACAGAATTATTATGTGTAGTTTAGTTGTCAAATATTATTTTAAGATAAATAATAAAAATAAAAAAAATATTAAAATACTTTACTTTAGAATGCTTTGATTTAATTGGTATAAACTTACTCTATAACTGACTGAACCAGGTTACGAGAGTACTGGAACAGATCTTTAGCCAGTTCAACATCTTGTAGATTCTTCCATCCCTCAGAATCTAACACTTTAGGATTCTTTGCAATATAGGTAAAAACTCGTTTTAGTAAATCATGTAATTTAAATTTCTTTGCAACTATTGCCATTTCTATTGCATTGTTTGGATTGATCTGATCACCAATCACATGCTGTGTTAGGGTAAAAAGCTGAGTCAACTGGAACCTATCAGCTATTTGTAGCAGCTTTACACAGTCTTCCTGCATTATGTTTTTTATAGTTCCTGTATATATGAACTCCAAAAGTAGCTCCATATCTTTATCACTTATATCAATAACCAATGAGGCAACATCGGATTCCTTGATCATTTTCATCAGCACGGGACTATGTGCAGCCAGCAGTATCTTGTGTGTTGGAAACTGTTTGCGAGAAGCAGATTCAAGAATATAATCTGTTGTTTCCTGCTTTGTTAAAAGACCACTTAAATCATGTTTTAGTTTGATAGATTTTACAATGTCATTGTTTAGTTCAAACTTTGGGTTCACTGTTATTTTTATTGGTATGAATAATGTTGAGGCTTTGTTGAAACGATCTAATTTTTTGAAACAGAAAGTTTTGATGAAGTAATTAAGATTTGGCTTAGTGGACTTGAAGTTGAATTTGACCATATTGTCTTCAGGGAGTAATAAATATGGAACATCATCACCTGGAGAAACCTTTTGTGTCAAGTTACTTGAGTTTGCTACTTCTATAGAAAATGTTCCAGTCTTCCTATGGCACACAAATAAATTTAGTAAATGGTTGTCTCCATGGCACACGGACACTGTGTAGAAGAACCAGAATTCTGGATCTCCGTCTGCATAAGTGCCTCCAATATCATAGTCACCTGTCCCCTTTAGCTTGAACAGTGCATCATGAACACAGAGCTTAGTGGCATCACTAGTCATACATTTGAATGCTGCTGATACACTTCCTATAGGACTCTGTAAAATATAAAAGTCTCATTACAACACCACACTTTATACAGCTATGAATTTGTTATGTATGGTTTAGTTATGTGGGTACTTGCTTACTTTGTTGAAATATAAAGTTAAGTATAGTGTAGGTAGACCTAACATTAATGTGACGGTCTTGATTTCGTCATTACACGACAAATGCTACCTAGCGTGTTTTATTTACTCAAAAATACATAGACAGTACACAATAGTGGCGACGTAAGATAAAAGTGTTAAAAATGGACGATCTGTACGTGAAAGCTGTGAAATTCGAGGAATTCAACCCTCAAACTGACAATTGGGACATTTACATAAATAGACTAAAATTTTGTTTCGAGGCTAATGGCGTCACTTTGGACAATGTTAAACGTGCAAATTTCTTTACCGTGTGTGGTGCGCGAGTTTTTGAAACTGTACTTGCTTTGATAACACCAAGATTGCCTAGTGATGTGACTTTCAGTGAAGTTGAAACTATTTTGACAAAACACTATAGCCCTAAACCCAACGAAATATCGATGTCATTTCAGTTCTATAAACGTGATCAAAAGCGGGGTGAAAGTGTTTCGGACTATGTGGCAGCGTTAAGAAAACTTAGTGCGACCTGTAACTTTAGAGACTTAGAGCGCATGTTGCGCGATAGGCTTGTTTGCGGAATGTGTGACGAAAAACTACAATACGAGTTGCTAAAACGGGACAACTTGAGCTACCAAGATGTGGTCGACGCAATGTTTTCATCGGAAAGTGCCGGCCGCGACGTGCGTATGATGCAAACGGCTACCGAGTCAGCACCATACCCCGCGACGTTGGCAACGCCCGCCGCTGAGCCAATGGAGGTTAACGCCGTGAACGCAAGATCGAGCAACCGTTTTTGTTATCGGTGCGGTGATAAACATTCAGGAGAATGTCGCTTTCTTAATGCTGTGTGTCATTTTTGCAAGAAAAAAGGACACATCGAAAAGATTTGTATTAGCAAGAAGAAAAATACTACTAAACACGTTAATTATACTGATGACTTTGCTGGCCATTTAAACGGGATATATTACGAGGGGTGGCTGATATATAATCTACTTTGTTCAATAAAGTTACAAAAATGATACTGGAAACTATGAAGCTTTAATACTTATGTATTCCTTATTTGAAAATAATAGCATTAATTTGTTTTAATTGTTTTCATTACGAATAGTCCACTAACATAGTAAACATGTCGGATGAAAATAATAAAATGCTTAAAATTGAGCAGCGTGCCGTGATTAAAGTCCTAACTAAAGAAGGAAATACTCCTTCGCAAATAAAACAACGAATGTCCAATATGTTTAGCGACTCATTGTCCTTCCGATTTTGTTATTAAGTTTTGGTCTAAACAATCTAAACATGGCCGTGTGAGTCTGGAAGATGATCCCCGTAGTGGACGGCCGGTTTCTGCAGTCACAGTAGACACGGTGGCTCGAGTGAAAAAAATAATACTCGCAGATCGGAGAGTCAAGCAGTGGGAAATCGCTAGGGATGTCAGGATTAGTAAGGAACGTGTTCACGTTATTATTCACGAACATTTAGGGATGATAACGGTAAGCGCACGATGGGTACCGAGAATGCTGACGCCCTTTGATAAAAAACGACGCGTCGAATGTTGTGAGGCATTTTTGGACCTAGTAAAAGACAGAGAAGAAGAAATTATCTCTAGAATAGTAACCTGCGACGAAACCTGGATTCGCCGATGGGACACCGAAACCAAACAGGAGTCTATAAAGTGGAAATTTAAAGGGGAGAAGCCACCGCGCAAGTTTAAGGTTCGGCCATCAGCAAGCAAGCTTATGGCAACAATTTTTTGGGATGTCGAGGGGATCCGTCGATCGATTACCTACCAAAAAATACTACAATGAACGCAGCTTACTACGCCAGCTTACTTGACCAACTGCGAGAAGCCATTAAAAAAAAAACGAAGAGGCAAACTCGGCAAAGGAGTTTTAATTTTGCACGACAATGCTCCGGTCCACACAGCTTTACATGCAAGGTCAGTATTAAGCAAGAATGGCTTCACGGAACTAAACCATCCACAGTATACATACATACAGTACAGATTTGGCCCCCTGTGACTATTTTCTATTTAGAAATTTGAAGAAAAGCCTAAGAGGGGGGCTATTTTCGACCTATGAAGAAATGAAAGCCACTGTGGATGACCATTTTGACGACCAATCCAAGAAATATTTTTTTGACGGTTTAATGTCGCTTATTGACAAATGTAATAAGTGCATTAGGGTAGCAGGGGACTATATTGAAAAATTTAAAAAAATTAGCTTCCTATGTCTTTTCTTTCTATGTTAGGTAGATAACTTTCCAGCCATCCCTGGTATGTACAAAATATAAAACGTGTGCCGCCTTTTGAGATAGTTTAAGTCGATGGCCCCGACCAGTCCCAGAGGAACCCGAGCAGCAACTATGCGACATTCTGTTAATGGCAGAAACACCTGCAGATTATCCTTTTAGTGTAGAAGACATAGCTACGGCAACCAGACGTGACAAGATCTTATCTCAAGTTATTTATTACATACAACGTGGCTGGCCCGCTAAAGAATCGAGACCAGACTTCTACCCATACTGGCTACATCGTGCTGAACTTTCAGTTCAAGATGACTGTATACTGCTAGGCTGCCGAGTAGTTGTACCTGAACCATTACGACAACAGACCTTACGAATACTACACAAGACTCATAGCGGTATTGTTCAGACAAAGGCGTTGGCTAGAAGTTATGTGTGGTGGCCAAAGCTTAATGGAGATATTGAGACATTAGTTAGTGGATGTACAACCTGTTTAGAACATCGACATATGCCTCCAAAGACAACACACGAGTGGATTACCCCAACAAGACCGTGGTCAAGAGTCCACATTGATTTTGCCGGCCCCTACAATAATAAGTATTTTTTGATTCTCGTTGATGCGTATTCTCGCTGGCCAGAATTATTTATGGTGAACAACACGACTTCAGCTACAGTAATACGTCTTTTAAGATCAACCTTTGCCATTCATGGTTTATGTGAAGTTTTGGTTTCTGATAATGGCACTCCTTTTGTTTCTGCTGAAATGAAACAATTTTTAGAAGCAAACAACATTTGTCATAAAACAACAGCCCCTTATCATCCTGCAACAAACGGATTAGCGGAGCGGATGGTACAAACTATCAAGGATAAACTAAAAAAAATGGAGGAGGCTACATGGGATGTTAAAATTCCAAATCTCTTGCTGGGACTACGAGTTACTCCATGCACAACAACTGGAAAGAGCCCTTCGGAACTGCTGATGAAGAGACGTTTGCGCACTGTTCTCGACACAATACACCCTGACAATCTAGAAGTGACAAAAAGAGATAATCAAATAGAGAGAAATAGTCTACAGAAAAGAAGAGAAACTAATGTAGGACAGAAAGTGATGTTTAGAAATTATAGGAGTGAAGGCCCAAAGTGGTCATCTGGAGTTATTGTCAGTAAACAAGGACCTTCAAATTACCGAATTCAAAGCGATAGTGGAGGAATTGTTAATCGCCATGTCGATCAAATGGTAACTATCAGACAGAAAACAAAAGAAACAGAACAGATCAGCTCAGAGGAAAGGGATAGTGGGGATATAGTACACCCATTAGAAGAATTTGAAAATAATACACAATTTGAAGAGGGTTACAGAACAACAGGACAGGATGTTAATTACGACAGCCAAGAGAATGAAATGACCCTAGAAATCCCTGATAAAGACCAATGGGCTGAGATGTTGGGAATCCCACCGATGAATGAACCAACTAGCTCCACAACGGGCAAAATTAGAAATAAAGTTCACATTCATTCTAAGACACCATATCAGAGACCCAGTACTTCTTCAAATGCTAATTATATGTTTTGATTTTCGCTTATTTGATTAATACTTCAACTCTAGTTATGTAATTATAGTGATTTGTTATGTGCATCAATTACTGTTCAGTCAATTAGTTCTATAAGTACTGTCAATAAGTATCCTTGGTTTATATAGTCTTTTAATTTAAATATATCTTATACTTAGGGGGAAGGTATGTTATGTATGGTTTAGTTATGTGGGTACTTGCTTACTTTGTTGAAATATAAAGTTAAGTATAGTGTAGGTAGACCTAACATTAATGTGACGGTCTTGATTTCGTCATTACACGACAAATGCTACCTAGCGTGTTTTATTTACTCAAAAATACATAGACAGTACACAATAGAATTCAAACAACAAAATTTACAGAAAATCTTACACATTTCCTCTTCAACAGCAACAAATAACATAAGGTAATAAATTCATTATTATCAATCTACAATATTGGTACAATAGCTTAAATTTCAAAAAAATATTTTATTCTAATATTATAAAGAGGTAAAATTTGTAAGTTTGTATGTAGGGGGTAATCTTTGAAACCGCTGGTTGGGTTGCCAAAATTCTTTCACTGATAGATAGCTACAATGTTCCTGAATGCTATAGGCTATAAAACATCACGCTACGATCAAATGGAGCCGAGCAGCGGGTGAAACCGCGCGAGACTAGCTAGTTAGGAATAAAGTTATTTTATTATTTGTAAGAGCAGAGAGAGACAGAGCTATGTGCTGATGTGATGAGAGTTAAAATTTTAAAAGCTCAAATAAATATTATTATGTTTACTATTGTATTTTTTAAGAAATTATGACCAGTATATAAATGTATCTGGTACACACAGTAATAAATTATAAACTTTGTTACTACTATTTCTGTCAAAGAAGATGTTCTAATACACACCTGTTTTCTTATTTCTTCTGAAATTGAACTGGAACTAGAATTGTAACTTTCTGCATAAAGGTCCATAAAAGGCTCAGCATCCATAAAAGCTTCTCGGTCCATGGTCCTCTGTGAATTAAACATATTATAAATTAGAAACTAATTACTGCTAATTAAATTGCAGAGTTTTTAAATTATGCATTAACATTTACAGTCTCCCTGTGTTCAAAGTATAGTAATAGCTAAGGCTAAGATTTTACATGTTTAAGGATAATAAAATGGAATAAGTTTTTCATAAAGCACAAAATCAATGTAGGTAGACAGAAAATATCGAAACAGATAGGTATTCACCAAAAAGATTTATAAGCATTGATTTTCATCTTTTCCAAAATTATTGAGCAATGAAAATAGCCTACTATACAGAATGTGAACAACTCTACCAACAGTAACAAACAAGCAATTTACATTAGTTTCATCTCAGAGGAATGTTTCATTGTTAGAAATATATTTTCAGAAATTCACTGAGAAAATCGAATATTTAATAAAACCCCGATAGTAAAATTGATTGCACCATAAATTGAAAATGATTTCTTACACTAAAACCGTTTGTTTACCTATAAAAAAATAACATTATAAATACATACCGTTTTAACCAAGGATTCTGGATAAATACTAAGCACCAGGAACCGATTGAATAATTAGTCCTGTGCAGTATTTGTATGTAATATAACTCAGTAATGAGTAATCCCCTATTATTATCACCTATTACTCATTAACGTACAAGAAGCAAAACAAAGTACAAAAAACTATTATGCTGACAATCAGATTTTTTTTTTTTTTTTTGGAGTTTATGGCCTGGATACGAGTTCTTTAAGCCAAACAATCAGATTTAAATCAATGAGACCACAGATAAAAATAATTGATTAACAAACGTCGAGTCTTTTTTTTTTTTTTGGAGTCGATCGTTAGGTGATGCAATAACAGTATGAAAATCGTAGCGCCATTATTTGAATTGGTAGGGTATCTATTTTGAATTCAGACTGATATAAAACTTTGGAATGATCTTTCAGCGGCGAACCGATACGACTTTGAAACTTTCAAGAAACGTACGTACTCCTTTTTAAAAGGCCGGTAAAGTGCCTGTGACTACTCCTCTGGTGTTGCAGGTGTCCATTGGCGGCGTTGATTATTTACCACCCGATGATCCGTCTGGTCGTTTGAAACCTAGGTACTTCCAAAAAATAATAATAGTACATCCAAAGCTCATTTCCGCCTGTACTATTTACAAACAAGGTAGAACAAGCTATTGTCTCTTTTTTATTGGCAAAGATATTTATTATTTACATAAATAGATACTTAGGTCTGAAACGAATATCTGTAATTACACTGGTAGTCGCTTCTGACGCTTTGCTAAAACGAGGGATGGCTCGAAATGACAGCAGAATCTGTACGCATGCGCGACCCGGGATTCGCAACAGAACTGCCTGGCACCTCCCCTAGGCATTAGTGATGTTCTTTATCAATTCTGTAAAATAATTATTGTTTATATATTTCAGTAAAAAACAAATACAAGTACATACATGTAGGTAAATTATGAAATTCTAAAATGATAGTAAGGTAGCATACCCACATCTTTAACTCCTTTGGTATCACCAAGTAGGTACCAAGTTCGAGTTGCACAAGGAATTGGGATTTGGGATTGAGGATGGGGAGGGGTGGGATTGGGCCAGTAACTCACATAGCAACACACTACATAAGTGTTGTTTTACGACGGTATCTATCCTGAGAGGGCGCGGTATTACTCCGGTCGAGCTGGCCCTTTCGTGCCGAAGCCAGCCAGTCATCAATTCATCAAGTAAGGCAGGTAGGTAAACCGCCAAAAGTTGAGACACTGAATCAGCTAGTGTGGTCGGGAAATCCTTATTCTACGGGTAGGGGTTCCGTTTATTAGACATGGGACACAAAGATAATCACATCTGTACCTACTAAGCACAAAATGGGTAATTTTGTAGCAGACTGTAACAGAACAGCAAATACTTATAAAAACTTATCATGCTTCTTCGATAACCACAGATAAGTGGAGGTACCCAGCCCTACGCTGCACCATTTTCAAGGCCACATCTTTCAGTAGGCTGCAAGCAGCCGGCGTGGCCGCACGATGCCAGTCCCGCGATGACAACACCACGCGAAAACCGTCCCAACGACACTGTAGAGTTATTACCATTAAAATCTGCTCTAGTCAACAATAATTATAAAGATGAAGACTCGTATTACCCGCCCCCTCTCAACAATAACCCGTCGAGTTCTAATCTCTACGATTACACACTACTGTCGAAGAGGACGCCGGCCTCTAAAAGGTATTTTTGTTTATTTTCTAAGTGATCTACGCTCGGTTTTCATTTCGAAACCGAAGTGTGACATCTTGGGAATTTTCAGTAATTTATATATTGTCCGAGCGTGCTTGCTTAATTAAATAAAACCCGCAAAAATATGCGGACTTCGCGGTTCTGATTGATACTAATTAACTTTCGTAAATTAGTGGCATGCACAATTAGGTATTTTTTAGATTTCATGAGTTAAAAATGAATAATACCTAAAATCTATGTACTTAGTAGATAATTTTTTTCTGTTTTCTTTGATATTTCAGCGTTGTTAGTAGTGTCGCCTAGCGTAGACCATTGTTTCTGTTTCTGTATCTGTTATCCGTTTTTGCAAGGTGTCTGCAGATGTTTAGCTAACTCAAAAAGGTTTTATTTATGTGCATATACCTAATGTATTAGTCGTTCATTACATAATTTTATCTTATTTTATGAAATGGTAAGTACAGCTTCTACCTACGTGTTAAATTGCGATTTCCTCAAGTGTTCTCCAGACGGATGATGCAGTAGTACCAAACTTTTAATTTAGTAAAATTTTTCTATAGGTTTTGAGGAAAATAAAATTGTAGTCCAAGCACTGATTTCTTATAACTATCTTAACGTTACGACTTTTATTCTTAAAGGCGAAGACAAACGTCCACATGTCATATTTATATAATATTCTAAATTTCTAATCAATCGGAAAATGTCTTGATAACCGCATAACTCAACAACGCCTGGAACAATTTGATAATGCCTTTGTTTTTCGTGTGCTCCTGCAGGTCACGTCTACAGGTCACTTATAATAAATAGCACTATTTTTAAAATATACGATATGCTACTTGTGTCCTACCTGAGTCCTTTGGATCAGAGAGCAAGCCTTTTGCTATTTACCTACACTCTATTGCCTACATAGGACAGAATTACAGGTTCAGCCAGGGTTGCGGGGTAAGCGCAATAAGGCACCGCGGCCTAGGTCCAGAGTAGGAGAAGGAACTGAAGGGTTTCTAGTCAGTAAGAATATGACTACCATGTCGCCTCACCCTGGGCGGGAGAAGCCATTTGATGATTTTCCCATGACAAAAAAAAACAGACAATGTGAAAAATAATATAATGTGCGAGAACCCTGCAAGTTTATTTTACCTATATAATGGTCTTTTGAGGGTTAGGCGAAAGAGAGTGTCAGACTCTTACTGACTAAAAATTCCCCCGTTCCTTCTCCTGCTCTGGGCCGAGGCCGCGGTCCCTCATTGCACTTAACCCGCAACCCCGGCTGAACATCAGCCCTATAGGGCCCCGTCGTGGTGGTCCACTGGCTCTCTGAGGCGCGCGCCGTATGCTCGGGTCTCCTGTCTCTGAGTTTGTTTCGGCATTTCTTCTCAGAGTAGTCAGATAGGAATAGTTTTTTACATATAATTTTAACGTGTAAAAGTGCTGTTTTGTAGCCTTTTTACAAAAATAAATTTATTGTTTCAAACAAAGCGACAGTAAAAATATTAAAAGACCTAAATACAATAGATTTCAATCGTTCACATCGAGATGTTAGCTTAGCTACTGAGTATTGGAAAGTGGATAGTTGGAGTGCTCAATGTAGCAATGACGTATACATAATACCGTGGTACCTATGTATATATACATGTACGTGCTCATCACTACGAGTTGCAGCTTAGTTCCATTACATAACTTACTAGCTTCTCTCGTTGTCGACTCACCGCTCGGCTCCTACAGATCGTAGCGTGATGTTTTATAGCCATATGCCTATAGCACTCAGGAATATTGTAGCTATTTATCAGTGAAAGAATTTTGGAAATCCGACCAGTGGTTCCAAAGATTACCCCCTACATACAAACTCACAAACATAATTACAAACTTACTACCTCTTTATAAGATTAGTATAGACTAGCTTCTCTCGTTGTTTCACTCACCGTTCGGCTCCTACAGATCGTAGCGTGATAGCGTGATGTTTTATATCCTGCCTCGATAAATGGACTAACAAACACAGAAATAATTATTCAATTCGAACCAGTAGTTCCCGGGATTCGCACGTTCAAACAAACAAACAAACAGCATTATAATATTAAAAATAAACACGTTGGTTCCTCTCTTTTTTGAAGTAAAAACAAATGATTTGACTTCTTGCAAATGACTTGTCCCTGGGGGCAAGAAGGAGTGGCAGACTCTTACTGACTTAAAACCATCTGGTTCCTTTTCCTGCTCCAGGCCGGCAAGCCAAGGTACCTAATAAATTGTCTATAAAGTGAAATATCTACCTTTTTTTATGCGATTGGTCGGCAGACAAGCGGGCGGGTTACATGACGTTAAGTAATTGGCGCCGCTCGTGAACACCCGCAAAACTGGAGGAAGTGTCTTACAAAGTGTATTTCGTTGCAGGCCTTAGTTGTTAAGGATTTAAGGATTAAGAATTTGGGGATTAGGAAGGAGAGTAAGGATTGGGTATCAAAGCTACCTCACTGACCCGGCGAAACACAGGTTTTCTGTGAGGCCGTGCTATAACATGTCGAGTCGACGCGACCCATTTGTGCCGAAGCTTGACTCTCCCACCTATTTGCGTGTGTGCCATGACTTTTCGTTCCTCTTTTTATAAGTCGTGTTATCCCATTATTACGAAGATACAATTTCTATAATTTAATTATTTCTTAACAAATGAACGTTTTTGACGCTTAAAATCTACATAGAAATAGGGTAGCTGAACTCCTTGTAGATTAATAGTTTTGACACTCGACTTATAATAACAAGAAAAAAACAAGTACTCTTTGTTTTTAGATTACTATCGCGCACCCAACAGCCTGCGCCTACGCCGATGTTGACGTTATGCGGCGCGCCGCCCCCCTCCAGGAAGAGAGAGGAGTTGACTGCGCTCGCCAATCTCAGGAAAAAAGTTTCACCTGCCTTGTTACAACCTGACAGGTAAGGGAATTTCATGTTAGTCAATAATTTAAAATTTTACCACATGGTCCCATGTTGGGTGTCAATAAGACCAACATGTAAACACACATTGTTGTGACATTTGCCCGAGACTTTATTCGCGTGGAATAGTGACTTCCTGCAGATTTTTGGTCTTAAAACTATCCTATGTCCTTTCTCGAGTTCCAAACTATGTCTGAATCAAATTTCACACAAATAGGTTCAGTAGTTTAGGCGTGAAGAAAAGACAGACAGACAGAGTTACTTTTGCATTTATAATATTAGTTTGGATAGTTTGGATTATATTTGTTGCTCATAGTACCTATACTGAACAATGAAGCATGCCTTTCATTAGGTTAGGTCATTTTATGTTTCACTAAAATACAATACCTACTGTATGAAAATAAAATTCAATCAACGCTGTATAGTTAGCATATCGATTAAGCGTTTCCTTTTATATTAGTGGCATTCATAAACATTATTTCATAATTTTTTTTTTTCATAAACAATATTTGGTGAAAGCTATGATATTATGAAGTTGTTGATTAGCAAATAGTTTGAAATAAAAATAAAATTTAATGTATTGAAAATGATTTTACTTTTATCATCATATTAATTTGACTGCACAGTTGACGCGGTGGCTGAGAAACTGACTGCCGTGTAACGTGTCGCGGGTTCGATTCCCGCACGAAACAAGTCTTTGTGTCATCCAGAAATTGTTGTTCCGGGTCTGGATTTGATGTGTCACATACACATAATTGTATATTTGTTGCCCTACGTTAATGAACCACGACACATGATAAAACAATAATGTGGGGCAACGCTTAAAAATACCAAATAGAGTTACAAAGCGTGCTTTGCCGGCCTCTTGTGGTTTGTGAGAGATTTACGGTTAGGGGATTTGGGGATAGGGAATTGGGGGGGGGGGGGGGGTGTTTCTCAAATAATTCAGGTGATAGCGTGTCTTATTATAGGTACTTAGTTATGACACAAATAAACCTATTTATTAAGTAAATTATTTAGAAACAAATCTGTCGTAAGAGGTCGTCAAATCACGTTGTAAAAGCTTTTACAACGACATTCTCTTGTATTGTTCAATGATGAATAAAAACTTGCCTTTTGAACCGCCATCGTCAGCCATTTAACTGGTGCTATACAACTAAGCGATCAGGCTTGCACATCGCGTGCAGTGTTCACTCCAATACCTGCCAAGGTTCACGAAGGTGGGGGGAGATAAGTGTAACAATGGAATGCTGCCTTATAGTTTCCTCAAAGTTCTAAGAATAGCTAGGTTATCTTGAAAGGGGTAACATTTCCGTCATTTTCTTCATAGTTGGCAAGCTTACTGGCTACTTGGAGTAGATTCCTAGCTATACCTTCTACATAGGTTTTTAGATATCCAAACAAATATCATAAATGCAAAAGTAACTCTGTCTGTCTGTCTTTTCTTTTCGCCTAAACTACTGAACCGTTTTCTGTAAAATTTGGTACCTACAGACATAGTTTGGAACTCGAGATGGGACATAGGATAGTTTTTATACCAAAAATCTGCAGGAAGCCACTATTCAACGCGAACGGAGTCACGGGTGAAAACTTACTTACTTACTACTTAGATATATGACTTCTTGTATCTGTCTGGTCAAGTACCTACACTAGATATTTTTGTCCCCTGTTTCAGTTTTATAATAAAGCGTTTAAAATTGTTCTTGGCATTAAAGTCATATTTTATTATATTTAGGTGTAACTAGCGACCCGCCTCGGCTTCGCACAACTGCAATGCTCTCCACAATTTCATCATCATCATCAGCAGCCTATAAGTGCTTACTGCTGAGCATAGGCCTCTTCTCACGCGGAGAAGTTTTGAGCATTAATCACCACGCTTGCTCAATGCGGGTTGGCGATTTCAAACTTATAATTAGAAATTATAAAGTCCAGGTTTCCTCACGATGTTTACCTTCACCGTATGCCAGTGGTGTCTAAATAATTATAGAAAGTACATATAACTCCTAAAAAGTCACATTAGTACTTGCCATGTTTCGAACCCACGTCCTCATGCATGAGAAGCGGGCTCCTTAACCTCGGGGCCACCACGACATTTTTTTTGGATGGATGGACATGGATGTTATTATATCACTCTAAAGAAAGAAAACCCTATAAACTCCGTTGCGTAGTTTTAAAGATGTAAGCATAAACAGTAGGAACTGAGAAAGCGACTTTGTTTTATACTATGGAAGGAAGGCGTTTAACAAAATTAAATATGGAATGCTTGTCATTACACGTACTGGCATTTCTCGTTCAAAAACATTCTTGAAGTGCAATTAAAATTTCTTCGTTTCTATAAAGCGAACCTTAAACCGCTCCGATGCTTGACCTCTCAACCACTTTACACCGAGAGTCGTTCTGCTTTAATCAAAGTCGGAGGGGGCTTACACATGGATGGTACTTCACACTACTTCCATGGTAGCTGGTGAATGCATTCACTCTCACATCGTGAATATACTTTGGATGTTTAAAGAGTTTTATTATACTTTTGTAGCAGTGTATGCAAATAAAGTGTGACATGATCCTGAAATATAAATAAGTTATTGTCTACTAGATACTCTCGTGCGGTTTCAGTTCTCGCTGCTCGGCTCCTAATTTTGACTGTTTTACAAAATCATCAATTTTCTTCAATGCAAATCCTTACAATAGCATATCTATTGTGGGCAAGGGTTTGTTAAAGCCATTTTGACTAGAACTCGGCAGTTTCGTAATTAACTGAACAATGAAGTCTTGTCTATGGCTACCTATTTTAGAATTGTAAAACATACAACTGTTTTCACAATGATCATTAGGTACACTAAGACAATGCTAGTTCAGCAGACACAGAGCTAAGGACGTCATTATATTATTTACTAGCTACTCTCACGCGGTTTTACCCGCTGCTCCATTTGGTCGTAGTTGATGTTTTATAGCCTATTTATAGCCTTACTCAATAAATGAACTAACGAACACAAAAGCAATTGTTCCATTCGAACCAGAAGTTCCAGAGTTTACGCGTTAAAAAAAAAATAAAGAATCAAACTCTACAGCTTTATAATAATAGGTCTTTACCTATGAAATTGCCGTTTTGCATGAAAAAATTTTAAACGAATTACAGAAGTACAGAAGTAAAATTTTTCATACACATTATGTTTACGTTGGCTTAAAATGTATATATAAATAGTATATAAAAAATACTCCCACGAACAATGGTAGGCTGGACCATGTAACTCATTGTAGATTTATTGGAATACTTGTGGCACTAGGGTACATACGTACCTATTACTCTTTGGTTCTTATTTATGTTTAATAGTTAAATATTAATACAATATTTTGTTCCCAGAAACGCCAATAAAAATGACAACGAACAAAATAAGAATAGTCATGAAGAGACTCTCGACAATCGGCCCAAGCTTTTACAAAGGGTAAGTAGTATAGTACCTAAGGGTAGTTTATAATTATATTCATAAAATTATGAAAATAAATATTGAATATTTGGGCGTATACTTGTAATTGTTAATCAAAAACATTTTCAACTAAACCTTTCAGACGCAATATATAAAAAGTTACAATTTTAATTAAATACATATAATATAGGTTAATATAGGTATACTATATTAGGTTGGAATAAAAGAAGGATATCCTATCTAAATGATTTTCGGAATACCTACATAAAATTATTAGGATGTAGGTAAGCACGTAACTATAATTTTAGCGCATATTTATAATATGTATCTCATCTGCAAAAAGGTTTTCAAACTTTATCAATCTCATTAAAAGTTCCACGATCATGTTCGAATTTGGTAATTTTAAACTTTTGAAAAATAACGTACCTACCTACTAACCTACCTGCTAACATTTGTTCTCAAGAATGAGCGGTAACGTTTGGAATTTTTTTTTTTTTAGAGTTCATCAAGGCAGAAACTGTACATCCTATATGAATTGTTTTATTGTTTACGTAATGTAATATGCATAATATTATGATCTCGTGAAATGGCACGCGTCCTTGACCTGAGATACGGAAGTGTTTTTACCGGCGAGGTACCGATCACGCTCACTGAGCCGCTTCGAACCATGAAAATGAACTTTTATGTGACAAAAACCTTTCCTTAAAGTTCGCAAATGGATAACGTTTGGTGACATTTTTGTTATATGTACTTATTTAAGTATCTATGGTACTTGTTGGTGCTTTTAAAAGGTTTTTTGGGGATGTGCATGTATACCTACCTATGTCTGCTTCACATTAGAAGAGTATATTCATTATAGAACATGGATTTGTACTAGTCTATACTATACTAATATTATAAATGCGAAAATAACTCTGTCTGTCTGTCTTTTCTTCAAGCCTAAACTACAGAACCGATTTCTGTGAAATTTGATACAGACATAGTTTGAAACTCGAAAAAGGACATAGGATAGTTTTTATACCAAAAAACTACTACAGACATAGTTTGAAACTCGAAAAAGGACATAGGATAGTTTTTATACCAAAAAACTACAGAAGTCACTATTGGAGTTGCGGGCAAAAGCTAGTTAGTTATAAGTTTAAGCATTTCTACTATTAATGTTCGCATGCCTTCTGAAAATGGAAAATGACAGATAGATATAGGTATATGCTGTCTATAGAGTTTTTTTTAACTGACACGTCTAAGTAAACCAGGTAGGCTCGAAAGTGAGCCGTACAAGAAGGCCACATCACTTCAAGATCATTTATCACTGACTCAGCACTAACACGACGGAAAAACTATTTCCACTTGCCCCTTAAGAAACTCGTTAGCACTAATATACCATTCTTAGAATCGGCCCTAAATACGGAACGGAACATTTTAGGCAAGGCCGTTAATAACTGAATATCAATAATATTAGACCGACCCGATGTAATAGACAAAAGGATCTTCCTTTTAAGTAGATAGTCTGTGGTTCCAAATTGTGATCTATGCTATTGGTTTTTCTTTTAAACGGTGTGGCAAAGAGGTAATTGATGTGTATCTGCCTATACTTAGGTATTTAAAATTTTGACTGCTACTTTCAGAAACTAATCTAGTTAAACTCTTCTGGATATGTACTTGAAAAAATTAGAAACATTTTTTTTTATTAAATCTTCAAAAGAAGTTTAGCTTTTTGGGGGGAACGGCTATGAAATATTGTTTGTTAGTTGAGGCATTATATGTATAGTGCATGGGTATTATTGTCCACTCTCAATTTTAAGCGCACTTTTTATTTAATTTAAAAAACTATCAAGCGCCTACTTTTGGATCCAACTTTAACTGTGTACCTTCGAGAAGCTTAGAAAAGAAGCCTAGAGCTTTAACGCATTAGTTAGTGCATATGTAGAAGATTCCTACACCTTTGATGATACGATATGATGAGGGGTTAATCCTATAAGGATATAGAAATAATACCACCCGATTTGAATGCTAGATTAACATTGATTTATAATTCGTTATAAAAGACACAAATTACATTTTGCATTGTTTGCAATATACACAAAACCTGAGTGTGCAGAACGCACGGGCGTGAGTAGTTAAAATAATGTACGGTTCCGTACATCCTGCCCACTCAAAAGAGATAGATAAAACACGATTGAGATGAAAAAGATTGAAAGGACAAAGAAGATAGATAATGTGATCAAAATTAAATTGATCAAAGATAGTCTTAGGTGCTATAATGTAATGTAAAATAAAATATACACTAAAACGTAGGACCTAACCAATTTAGTCACGGAGCGCACTGATCACATAGATTCTGGCGAAGTAGCCTTATCTACACCACTGACCGTGAACACTTCACTGCACTTAAGCACTGATCGCGCTTGATGTGACGCCACTGGCGCCGGATCCACCGGCGCGACTGTCGCCGGCCCCGCCCCAGCAGCCTCCTGGCCCTGGGGGGCCGGCGACGCTGCTGCCCTAGCCGCAGCTCGACGACTCCTGATGAGGTACACGACGACGCCACCCAGTATGATCACCGCGGCTACACTGATGTATAGCACAGTGTAATGGTGGACATCATGAATGCTCAGATCTGTTGATGACTGTTCCTTAACCTCGTCAATCTGAGCCCTTAACTGATCCCAAATAACCTGATGATCCTCGACCATACTAATATTGTCGGGTATTGATGTTTTCATAATTCGATTAAGCATAGACACCTCTGGGACTTCGATATGATGATGAATATTCAAATTACTGAAAAAGTTATTATGAGCATAAATACTAAAGGTATCCCCTTTCAATGTGCAGCCCTGACCTAGAGTAATGATGCCATTGTTTATAAGATGGGTCATTGTCACTCCGTTCGCGCAAATAATGCGAACCTGGCATTCCGGACAACATGTGTACAACCAGGTGTTTGGCCTGTGCAACTTGATCCACCGCTCTTCGCACGACGATTTTACAGACTTACATAAGTGAGCATGATTAATTATTTTAATGTCACAGATGGATTGCTTCATTTTTAGATCGTAAATGGGCATGTTTAATGAGCACAATAATATATCGCTAGGAATATGAGTGCACGACTTTAGATCTTCTTCTGATAGAAGAAAAGCTGTATCCTTGTGCAGATTGTACGCAATAAATGATACTGATGTAAGAAATTGATAGTAGTGTTGTCCTTGTTTCTGAGAGATAGAGATGATTTTATTTAACTCGAACATTTCGTTGCTTAAAAGCGGAATTTTGATTTCTATGATTAAGTAATTTGAGATAACCCTAGCTGAAACCTTGAGTAATCGATACAAGTCCTTGATGTTTTTGATATCTACTGGTATAGTAAGTTTACCATTTAGCTGACTAGAGATGATGCTCAGCTGATACGATAGCTGTTCGGGAGATAGTAAATGGCTGTCGATACGTCCATGAGAAATATCCGTTACAGTCCCAATCAAAGTCTGCTGGATCCATCGAAGGTTTGATAGAATGATTGATGCAGCTAAAGATGATGACGTGATATAGTTATTGTCTTGATTAACCAAACGTACTTCATATACTTCACGCGCTAAATCTTGAAGCCGTTGATTGATAAAGGAGAATTGTTTATTCATGACGTTTTCATTACGGCGTAAAATGTTGAATTCGGATTCCATGATGCTGGTTTGATTTTTGATAAGATTTTGAAGATGTTTTTCGTTGTGACTGATCTGTTCGATGTCGCTTTTGTATTTTTCGGCAAACCTTTCGTCCAGTACACCGAATAGAGAATTTGCGATATAACCGACTCCATTTACAAGACCTCTTCTTAATCTCATAGGTGCTTCATTTGTATTTTTAAGTAACATGTCATAGTGTTCAATTTCACTAATTTCCTGCTCTAGTTGAACAATGATACTCTGATATTGTTTACTTGAATGAGTGATGCACATTGTTTTGATATGATTGACGTAACTTTTGATATCCGATAAGCCTTTCCAGTAGGTAGTCATATTATAGTAGACAACTAGACGCCATTCATCCTTGATGTATTGCAGGTTCGACAGTCTGTCGAAGTAAATTGCTTGATTTTCATCTAATGACGTCAGATTATATGATTGATGATTGTTGGTACTTTGTGCGTGAACAGGGGATAGCAACATGAAAATGAATAATAATGAATGAATGAATAGGCTCTTGAATGATATTCCTCTACGAGAACGTTGAGTACGCTCACTCTTTTTTTGTTGACATGATGATGGCGGTGATGGGTTGGAAGAATTTCCTTGATCGATAGCTTGATCTTGTGCCGTGTCCTCGTTGGTAGGTAATAACACGAGTTTGTTGACAGGACGTTTGATAATGTTATCACCTTTTGTTTTTAGACTGACCACTCTAACATAGTTGTCCTTTCCTGGATGTACATCTTGAATGCGTCCTAATGCCCACTTGCCAGGTGGTAGATTTTCTTCCTTGATAAGGACTACGTCACCAATTTTGAAATTTCTATTTGGTTTACGCCATTTTGATCTAGCCTGCAATTGTTGAAGATATTCGCTTGACCACCGCTTCCAAAGCTGTTTATTCATAGATTGAACGAGTTGCCATCGCGTCGAGAGATTGATGTGATCTGGATCTGTCTGTGGCCTGGATAGAATTGGGCCACCAACTAAAAAGTGTCCTGGCGAAAGAAAGTCATCGTCAGGGCTTTCAGTCAGTTGACAAAGTGGTCTAGAGTTGAGACACGCCTCTATTTGGTAAAGTAGAGTAGTAAACTCCTCGTACGTGAGTTTTTGATCTCCAATGATCCGCTTTAAATGATATTTAAGGCTTTTGACTGCTGCCTCCCAAAGACCACCTGCGCTTGGCCACGCTGGAGCATTGAAATGCCAGCTTACGTTCATGTGACTGATGTTATCAAATAGATCGGTGTTGATATTGGCTAAGATTTCTTGATACTCCTTCTTAATGATACGATTGGCGCCTACGAAATTTCTTCCATTGTCACTATACAT